TAACCAACCCTAGAACCCCCTTCCGGTAACCGACCAATACCGGACGGAATAGATGTTAGGGAGGAACGATACTTCAGCCTCAGGGCGGAAACTAGCATTATACACACACACACACACACACACACATATATATATAGATGTCACATGGTAGAGTGCATGAAACAAAACCTGGCAAATTCTGGAACTGTACATCAAGGTCACGAAAGGAAGGGCATCATGCCATCACACATGATTCTAATCATGACTAAGCCATCTACAACCAACACCAGACCCACAAGGAAGGTACATCCCAAGGATGGTAGGAAGGAGGAATGCCATGGTGGGAAAAAGCAATCTGCCAGATATATATATATATATCAATATGACATAATGCTACAACCAAAACCTGACAACATCTGGAATAGTACATCAGGTCTGCAGTAGGAAGTGCAATACACCATCGACACCCAGAATGCTACAGCCCTACTCTCAACTGAATGGTATGATGCATCACTCAAGAGGACAGACCTCCATGGTCCACCACCTCAAGAGCTAGGAACTAGTAAGTGGTAAGGACTCCTATACTCCACTAGAAGAAAGGAAGGAAATATGAGTTGGAGAGTCCAAAGGACCACATCACCAGAGACAATCCAATGGGTGACCACAATATCCTATTTTGAAAAGCAGAGCTACCACATATACAGAGTCGATCAACCAACACCCAGTGGCATCTGGAATTGTACATTAAGTCCATGGTAGGAAGAGTCTCAATGTCACGGAGCATCAGAGATGGGCAGCAATCCCTGTCTGCTTTACTCATGTGTATCCATGAGTGTCTGGTATGGGATGAACATATTTATGAAGCAAAAGACCACTGGAGAGAATTATTAGCTGGAACACCCCATCTCTACAGTGTGCATAATCTAAACCTCTGACATAATTGTTTTGGCATAGATGACAATTGAATGGAGACACACAACCAACACCAGGTGGCATCTGTAATTGTACATCAGGTCCACTGTAGGAAGAGCTACAACGTAATTGACATCAAGCATGGTCACAGGATGGATATTGCAGATTTAGAAAAAAAAAGTATACCTGATCAGGCACCTCTTGTGGAATCCATAATACACTAGTAAAAATGCCCCTGTAAATGAAATAAAAAAAACATAATACTCACTAGTCATAATGACCCTGTGGTGTGCAAGATGGTGGCTAGAGATAAAGGAAAACCCACTGAACAAATAATGGCCACGTGATGTAAATAATGTCAAACAAAGGTAAGAGGTGTAGTCCACATACAGGCCCCGATAATGACCTCCAAAGGAAGATAGAAATAGGCAGCCAGGGACATGGTGAAGTAACGGATTTGAAAAGAAGATGCCCTAAAAAGGCAACACTCTTTAGGCAAAAAGGAAAAAATACACCCGCCTAATGAACTGGTAAATCTAACTTGTAGGAGCAATGGGATAGAAGTACTGGAACATGGAAGGATTCCATGGAATAAACAAATGGTTATGGGAACCATGAAAGGGAGCAGTGAAAGTGAGATACCATCAGAGGGCCCGAACTAGACACAGAAAATTATCAGGATCAGAGCAGTTATAAAAGTGGGAATGGAGGATGATGAAATAGGAGAAAAAGTGGAATTACCCTCCCTAGCAGCAGAAGTCTTAAGCAAAAAGAACATTCAGGGAAGAAGAGAACAGAGGAACTGTGGAACAGCACATAACAAGTGTCAGTCGCAAAGATCTGAGATCACAGCCAGCCACAAGCCAATAATATGAGGAACATGGATTTTAATGAAAGGTGATACAAGGAACACGAAGACAAAGGTTCGAACAGAGGAAGGGTGAAAGCATGAAAGAGAGCATTGAGTTTCCAATTTAGAAGAGACACAGAGCAGGAAGGATGAGAAAGGGAAAATGAATGAAATAACAAAGACAACATGGGAGAGTAGAAGACAGAGACAAACTCAGTAAATCTGAACATGCAAGATAATGCAGCCCAATAGCCAGCAACTGAGGAAACTGACAGTCCATTATCGAAGAGCCATGTGAAAAATGCAGTCAATTGTAATAAAGGAAGATTGTAAGGATGATATCCCTGGTGGAGTGACCAGCAGCATAAATTATACCATTTACACTGCCAAGGAGGAAGGACATACAGAACTGGCAATCAATGAGGCAACATGCCTGGCGAGGGACCAGACAAAAGCCATGCATGAAGTCAGAGAGCAGGAATGGACAAATGACTCATGCACAATTGAGGTTGATGAAGGAGTGTGAGAGACAACAGCAAAGGTAAAGGAGGTGGCACCAAAAGCCTGCACAGAAGTGGAAACCACATTTGAGCATGTCATAATGGAGCCACTTGAAGCACACAACACAAAGTGGTCTGATTCACTGAAAGGACCCTGAAAAGAAGACGAACAGGAAAATATACATATAGGAAATATCCATTCCAGTTTTGACTGAGAGCATCTACAGCTTCTACCAAAAGATGAGGATTGGGAGACCAAAAACGGGGAAGTTGTTCATTGAGATGTGTGGCACATCCACATCTGGAATACCCCAATAAGCATACAGCACCTGAAACACCTGCAGATCTAACATTCACTCTTTCGGGAGAATCTTGTTGAACTGAGATAACTGGTCTGTAACCAAATTCAAGGCACCAAGGATATGACATGCTAACAATCTGAAGTGAGAAGATTCAACATTTGAAAACAAAGATTTCTTGACAGAGTGCCCCCTCAACTGGTGATATACGACACTACTGTGGAATTGTCGGAGTGGACCATCATCAACACCCCCAAACATCCGACAAGAAATGAAGCAGAGCACAATGAACCACCAGCAACTCCAAGATGCTGATATGTAGGAACGATCTGTCCAGTGTCCAACGACCACAAACCTCTTGAATGTTGAGATATGCCCCCTAGCCCGAAAGGGAAGCATCTGCAAAAGATGACAATCCAGTTGAGGAGGTGGAAGAGGTACATTGACGGTAGTATTAATCCAACCACTAATTGAAGTCAGCCTGTAGGTGGAGAGGCAGAGTAATAGGATCATGTAAGAGATCCCAAATGAGGCTGTGTATGTGACTAAGGTGAATGAGGACTTCAAGAGAAGCCCATGTCCCCAAAGGAGATAGAGTCTCTCGTGCAGTAAGGGTGAGGTTGATAGACTGTGAATGAGTCGCTCCATATCCCTTAACTGAAGAGGAGAAGGCTGGGCCTAACTGTTGAGGAAATTGAAAAACACCCAGATGAATCAAATATTGTAGGGTGTGAGAAACGACTTCTCCACCTTGATGACCCAACCCACTTTGGCAGACTCTTGAAGAAGAAACTGAGTATGAACAGCAGATTTGACATGAGAAGGTACCAAAAGTAGCCAGTCATCCATGTAATGGTGGAAAGGAAGGCCTCTAGCATGAAGCAGTCAAATGAACAACCTGACTACTCGGCAGAAGGAGCTGAGGCCATGCCAAATGGTAGAGCCCAAAAATTATAAACACACACCTGATAAACAAAATGGAGGAAATGTCAGGATGCCTGGGAGATGGGAATGTGCAGATGGGCATCCGACACATCGACCTTCATCATCCACAAACCAGGAATGAAAACCCACTGAAGGGTTAATTAAGACTCCACCGTAAATTTGGATTCAACAAGAAAGTGGTTCAGGGACAATAAATCTATAACTAGTCGCCAATCTCCCATTTTTTGGGTACAATGAACAGACAGAAGTAAAATCCCAACTGAGAAGGTTCCCCAAGTTCTATGGCCACTTTCTGAAGTAAGTCCCAAACTGCCTCCTGTAGATGCTGGTGAAAAACATGATCCCTTGGTGGGGGGAAGGCAATGGGATGAAAAGACAACAGGGAGGGGGAATGGAAGTGATGGGCCAGACCCTCTAAAAGAACCTGAAGAACCCAAGGATCCATTGGACATGGTGTCCACATATGCCAAAAATGGAAAAGCCTGGCCCTGACTCTGAGACTGAATCATGATGCTGTAATCCATTGAAACGCCTTTGAGTAAGAACTCGATTGCAAATGGATGAAGAACAAGAAGCTGGGACTGACAAAGGGTTGGAATGGGGAGGGGGGTTGAGACAGAAGCAGAAGACCTGAGCCAGCAAGCACATAGTTGATAATGCATGCAGAATTGTTGACAACATCAGTCTGATACAGGAAAATTGAGGTTGTGAAAAATTCACCGATGTATTAGGGTTTGAAATGCACAATGTAATGAGAGATTCTAAACATTTGGAATCAAGATAAGGGAAGGGAGATCTATGAAATGCAGAAGCATGATCTTCAGAAGTATGAGATGGATGGGACATACTAACCCCCTGACCAAAGTTGATCTTCAAAATGCACCCAACAGGTGAGGGAGGGAACACTAAATATTGGCCCCCAGATTCTTCAACAAGGAGGGTATATTGAAAATTATAGGAAACAGGAGATAAAGATAAGACACCATAAACGTGATAAATTAATTCAACAAAGGGTGAAGGAGGTCTGAATAAGTCCCTCGATATCACACATGATATGGAAGCATATTCAGGGAGGGGGGAATAAGTTGTCCAAATTCCCATTCTTCCTGTCAGACACCCCAGGAGCAAGCATGACAGGATTTTTCTTGTGTGGTGGTGAAGATTGCATGGACATGGATATTTCTCATTGAATAATTGCCTCGTGTCCTTAGCCAATAATTGACTACTAAATTCAGTAGTAGTGGTCGGGCAACCCACAGCAACAGTAAGAACTGTGGTAGATGTAACTACCTGAAACTGTGAGTGCACAGTGAGAATTTCAAACCTGAAGCAAAAAAAATATGAAAAAAGGAAGAAAAGTTGGAAAAAGTAATCTTTTACAATCAAAAATACAAAAAATTGAAGAAATATTATAGAAAAACTAAGTCTGTAGTAAAAAGCACAACGTTCACAAACTTGTGAGCAAAAAGAAGCACATCTGTACAGTACTACTGCCAATCAAGAAGTGATTAATGAGTACAAATTTGGAGAGGGTATTGGTTATGATAAGGGTTATGTTGTGCCTCTGTTGGTGGAGAGCTGTTGCATAATCATTTACATGTGTTAAATATTTGCACTGATAGATGGCAATACTAATAGAGAAAAGCTATTTTGTGAGAAGAGGTAAGATATAGTGTCGGAAACAATATTTTAAGAGAAAAAAATAAAAAAAATTCTTTCTAAAAACCTACCTTAAATAATTTTCCTGCCTCAGTTTGAAGCTGTTCAGTGGGTAAGGTCGTTAGAGGCTGGCTTAGGTTTTCTTTTGAGTACAATAACAATGGATGCCTCCAAATGACGTTATCTGATAAAATTGATAAAATGTTACCAACAACAGACCTAACATCATCTACTTCTGAGCATTTGATATTATTATTTTCAGCATTTGTTTATTTTATTTCTAGTTACTAAGTTAATGTGGTAAATAGTTATAGAAAGTTAATTTGACTTTTACAGATATTTATTAAAAATTAAACAAGTGTAAGACAACTCTATGAAGATGAAATAAAGAAAATCCTGTGCAAAAATCATCCTACTTTTCACTTTTAACAACATCTTAAAACTTACATTGAGTCCAGTACATAAAACAATTCACATTAATTAGAACTTGTAATGTTATAACTATGAAAAGACAAAACCAATGTTATAAAATAATATCAATCCACCCCCTTCAGTCCAGTGGTATGCAAATAAGGCATTTGGTAATCAGCTAGATAATCTGAAATGCATGATTGGCCATTCAGCCAATGCTAAATATAGCAGGCTTTGAAATGAATCATAGAGTTTATAATGGTCCAAGCTATTCATGAATCATTGACAGACCTCAAAAAACATAATGAAAGCTGGCCAAAGAGAATTAAGTAGGTTCACTTTATTTACGGTACAGTCAGCAGTATAAATTAACATGTAATACTAACTTTAACTAAACTGACTGAAATTAGCAGACTGAGCAGAATGTGTAATACAAAATGCAAATAATATTTATTCAAATCAAGGACAAACATTCAGTATGCATTCTTACTTTGTGGATGTTGGACAGTTGCTTTCAACTGAATCATGAATTGAACAACTGGTTTTCTTCCCTCAGGAAGTTTTCTTATCAACCCACTCACTTGAGATTCTATGAAGTATTGTTTGAATCTAACATTTGTTATTTAATGAGAAAAACCTGATTTATCCACAGTGACTAGCACTACCCACATGACTGATCATTCTCATTTAACACAGGGTAGGCCATTACCTCTAGGTATCATCTGCCCTACCAGCAAAGAATGCTGCTAAGTCTGCATTCTTGCACAACATGCAGCTTTATGGCAATACCCATACCCACCCCCTTAGGTATAGCAGGTATTATATCTAGAGATATGAACAGCAAGAATGAAGTCAACTTAATGGTTTGGTTTTCAGGACCATGTGTTCTGTAAAAACTGCACAGACTCAAAATAAATGAAAAATAAGAAGACAGAAAATGGAGGATGTGCCTACATACCACACTATTAATGGCACATATTTTAAGAACCATATCATATGGCTATTTGTGGTTACACCTGCTCATGCAATTGGTTCTGATAGTAGCCTAATGGATGGTAACACCTGCCCCCCCCTACACCAAATATGCTAAATTGGTCAACACCTTGAGCTAAAAAAAATTAACTGGATAGACTGGCTTGCTATGCTCACTGGGGTTCAATCCAACCAAAAATGTATGGGATGTTATTAGAAAAAGCATCTAATCTCATCAAGTAACTCCAGAGACTGAAGATGTCCTGGAGACACCTCTTTTAGGGTATTAGTAGAGGATATTTCAGAACTTTATCAACCCTCTGATTTTAAGTGTGCAATATTGTTGCCACTCTACCTTACTTTTTGATTACCATACTCCATATTAAAATCAAGTGACATGAACTGTAAAATTGCAAAACCATCTCTACCAAATATCCATTAACTGCATAGGTTGGATGAACAATCATTTGCTTTCAGATTATACAAATGATCATTAGATGTATAATTCTCAAAAAAGCTGGGTAGGAAGAGTAATTTTTTGTGTTTGTCATTAAACACAAACCTACACAACCAGTTATCTGTGGTCTGCCTACCACAGGTTTCAAAACCCAATCTTTAGTGTTAAAAGCAATCACACTTACCACTGAGCCACCAGGTAGTGGTGGGGATAATCAATGTTTCATAACAGTGGTTTTGCCTTGTGCTAATTGAAATACTATTAATACTAATTATTCTTTAATTGGAATTTATAATAATTTTTCTGTCAGCATGTTCAAAACCCAGAAAAGTAAGGGAACTGAAACTGAAAGTATTGTTAGCTTCAAGTGAAAACAAGTTTATGTCTTTCTTTAACAAATAAATAACCCCAGTACTTAATATAACTTTAAATAATCTAAATATATTTCCACTCCTTTTAAGATACTGACAAAAGTTTTCATGCATCTGATGATCTAAAGACAGCAGGTGTGAGCCAGGTATGATATATAGTTGTAATTCCCAATTATTTTCCATACTAGGTCACATCAGATGACAAACATAAATCAAAGACCAGGCCTGAGCTTCCTGGGGAATACATCATTCCTTAAATACAGTTTTGCTTATTTTTCCAATATCTGAAAAGAGTATGGGCCACAAACCAGGCTTTCAAAAGCATGATGTGACTCAGTGACTAACCACTGGGGACACTGATATAGAGAAATTTGATAAGCTCTTTAATACACATGTTATCATTAATGTATTTTATATTTCATTCTATCTTTTGCTCTGTACATGGTGTTGCTAGTCTTAAATGTTTTTTAAATGGAGTTATTTAATATGTAAATTGAAAATATATTTTTGCAACAACTGAAAGCTACATGAAAAAAATCATACTCTGTTCTCCTTCAACATCCATCAATCGAGCAACAAGTTGTTCATATGAAGTTCCCTCAACACGCTTCTCTGAAGACACAGCAGTCAAGTGGAACAGCCATTCATCCTGGTGGGATAAATTGGAATTAATATACATGTAACACTAATATAATTGGAATAAACATAACACAGTTATTAAAATAATATAATAGTCTTCTTCATCTAAAATATATATTTTTTTTATTTAATACATTAGGAGAGCATAAATTATACAAAACTTACCATTGGAAACATTAAAAGAAATAAGCCTTATCTAAACACATTCAAGCAAGACTAAAACTTTCTGAAAATAGGTTACATAAAGTTTCTAATCCCAAGCTTTAAAAATACTTCCTCATAACATTTAAAGTATGTGAGGCAGTTACATAATTCAATTTAATACAGGATATTTTAAAAATACCAAAAGTAATGAAATTTCAACTATTTAAATTTGCAATTGATTGAAAAATTTGAAAAATACCAAAATAAAAAAAGACTTGTCAAAATAAAAATACTTTTACATTCAATAAAAAGCATAGATCAACATACAATTCAGACATATTCATGTTTGTAGACTAACATAAGATTCACACATATTCATGAATGCAGATCAGTTTTCAATGTGTTACAAGTGAGTTAACAGTATGCCACAAAAAATTCCACTTTTCTATAGCCATTATAAAAATTTACAATATAACACAATAAGATTATAATTTCAATGTAACAGCACTGAAAATACAATCACAAACCATTCTATTTAACATTGTCTTTTTTATGTATATAGGTGTGTGTGTGTGAGTGCAGCAATTTGCAGTGTGCCAGGTTTTTTCACTTATTCCAAGATGCTTTTTTGGGGAGAATGCATTATGAAAGACCACAATAAGACTTAGATACTCTCAGCAATCCATTTTTAACTTTTTCAACATGGATTTCCATTATTGAAAATCCTATAAATAATAGTATTTTAACTATGCTTATTACATTGTGTGCTATTCTTCGTGTCACTATTTGCCTTATGCTAGAGCTCATAGTGCGAAATAGATTACAACACCTAAGGTGCTAAATGAGATCAATTTGTAGGAGTCATGTAAGTGAAATCATTTTGTATTGATCATAAAAATGAGTACTTATTATTTTATTTTTTTTCTATTTTTCTACCTTAAAATGGTTTAGCTTAATGTACAAAGTTAATAGTCTAAGAAATAATACCAGTAGATTAAAAACTACAAACCATCTCCAACTGTTCATTAACATTAGCAAATTACTAATTAAGAAACTATAAACACAGCCTGGTTACTGACAAAACTAGAACTAACAAACCAGTCTACAAACCAAACTACAAAACAACCTTATTGCTGACTAAGCTAAGAACTATAGACAAGTTCAAGTTGCTAACTAACTTTAAACCTATACTGGTTAACCTATGCTACTCACTAAACTCAAACATATAGAGTATTCCTGAATGTTAATAAAACTTGAAACTACAGTAGGTAATCTCTAGTTACTACTAATCTAAATCCTACAGCCCTGAATGTTAGTTAAATTAAAAACTGTAAGCCATCCAGTGCAAAAATAATAATCTACAAATAAAAACCCTGGTTCTTAACTACAGTCTTTACACTAGTCATTGGTGATGCTTAAAACTAAAACTTGCAGAAGAACCCTGGCTGTTTATTAAACAAATGCAAACCACTATCTTTGGTTGCTTACCAAATTGGAACCTACAGACTTCACTTGAAGCTGATTCAACTAGAACCTACAGGCAACCTAAGGTTACTGACAACACTAGAATCTATAGATTGACCCTAGTGGCTAACTAAATAAGCACACACAGACAACCTTTGATGTTGACAAAACTAGCTATAATGTACAAATAGTCTCTCATTCTTGACAAAATTAGAATCTATATATGATCTCATGGTCAGTGGCTAAATCAAAAACTAAAAACAACTAATAACTAATAAATAAACAACTTATAATTTTCACACCAACCCTGTTTATGAAATTAGAATCTCCAAACAAGCTCTACTTTTTAATAAAAAAGAAAGTCATAGTCAAACTCTGGATGTTGGTGAAACAAAAATTTTAAATCAAACCCTGGTTGTTGATGCAACTAGAACTAGCCAACCAACTTGACTGTTCACTATACTAAAACAGCAGACCACCTAAAGTGGATCATTAAACCAAAACATACAAACAGCTTCTGGTTCACAGTCAATTTTATTTATCATAAGACAATATTATTAGGCTTATTAAGCCAGCATGATTAACACTGGTATCGAGCAAAACTTGTCATTGGCAATGGATATAGTAAATGTAGAGTGGTTGAAATACTATTATACATGTTTTTTCTAAAAAAAAAAACCCTAAAGGACTGAATAAAGAATGTAGTGTTTAGAAATACAATAAGTTTAATACTATTGTCTACTGACAGATATAATTAATCATAATCATGCTTAGCCAGCAAAAGGCCATAACATCTGTTCTTCTAAGAAAGGCTTATATAAATAATGTTACAGACGCTAATGTGTTTGTGTATCTCTGCTGGCCTGATAAGTTCTGCTATTGGGTCAAATGCTTTTGTTTGTTTATAGTTAAGCACATAGCTACACAATGGGTATCAAAACCCAGTTTTTAGTGTTAGAAGTCTACAGACATATCGCTGTGCCACTGGAGGTCTGGGTCAAATGCATCATCAGTGATGGATATGGGAGAAAATAGTGTAGTTGAAATACTATTATACACATTTCTTCTTGAAAAACCATTAAGAACTGAATAACAAATGTTTAAAGATACAATAAATATCATACTACTGGGACAAAATATAATCTATTTTAGTTACATTTCACCAGCAAAAGGCATTCAAAACATTTCCCTCTGATTTATGCCTAAACTAGAATCTACAGAATACACCTGCTTGCTGAGTGAAGGTAAAAATCAATAAATAAACATCTGTGTGTTGATTAAACCAAGACCTATATATAATCTGTTTATTATTAAAACCAAGACTAACAACATAGATATTATTCATTATATATACAAACTACATACCATCTCTTGCTTAGTGGACATAAGAAGATAAGTTGGTCCTTGATGTTCAAAGAAAATGCCCACTGTAAACTGAGACTTTACCATTACCCCAGCAAGGCCTTCCTTGTCTGAATCTGATGGATAGACTGCTTGCACACGAGCATCTGTCAGGTTGATTTGTCCACTGGGACTCTTGAAAGTTATAACAGAAGCTCCAGTTAAAACTAGATGTTTCAATATCTTAATTTAGTACTAAATCAAAACTTTGTAATCTTTTACTGTTTTAATTTGTTTCAATATATTTTAACCTTTCTCTTACTTAATACATTTAAGTACTTACTTGTGTCAGTGAAGGTTGAGACACCATACCCTCAAAAATATACAAGAAATACTTAATTTTAGGTCACTAATTAAAACAGTCTGATATTTCAAAATTATTATTTATAAGATTAACTGAGGGTAAAACTGCAACATCAGTGGTGCATTAACTGGTTACTGAGAATAGCAACTACCCACATGTTGCTTCTGGTTTATTTATTTAAATGTCCAGCTCTCTGTGTACAAGTTTTTATACTGTTAATTTTTGTAAACTTATGTCAATTGATTTTCCTTCTATCTAGTGATTCTTAAGTTTAAAAATGCTTAACATGATAAAGCATTAGAAATTAATTGCAGTTTAATAAATAGAATTTCTAATCCATAATCCCATCATTGTTGACTTGTAACAAAAGTGTTATAACACAGTCATTAAGATATTAGAAATTTTTTAACATAATATAATTTAATTGTAAAGTAAAATTTGCAATTAAAGATATAAACTGAATTATATTAGGAACAAACTAAAAAACAACAACAGCTCTTATCATAAAGTTTGGAAACATTATGAACCTCACTAAAGTAACAGAAGACATTAAAATAATTATTACTCATTCTGAGTACTATATCTTTCTTAATGACTAGTATTAGAATAACAAGTACTTATGAACATAACATTAATAGCTAGTACTCACAGTATCTTTAGGGGTCTTGAAAAATGATAAAACTTGATTATTCAAAACACACCAGCAGTGGCGTGAGTCTCCTTGTGCTACCTGTAATAAAAGTGAGTTTATGAAACTTGAGGAAAATATTACCTTATGAATCACACATATTTTTGGAAAAACTAGTGTGAGAGAAATATTCATATTGAAATCTTCACTTTTAAAATCACAAACTCTTAACTAATGATTTGAAAAATACATACTTTAACCATTACAGTATGCTCATCTGTTTATCACATTATACAGAACTAACCATACATATATATGTATCATCCTGGGACCCAGAAAATTATAATTAATAAAATAATGCAATTTTTCACTTGTTTAATTTAATGTGTTAAACATTACAACAATATAAAAATTCCTATAAGGTAAAACAATTTGAAAGAAATACTACTTCAGACATTATTTCAAACCATCCAAAACCATTGTCACTTTTATAGAAAATCCTTGACAGCAGGTCTCAAAAGGCTATAAATATATAATGAATAAATAATTGTACATTTGTTTACTCATCTGTGTATATCTATCTATATATAGGTATGTTATGCAATCAGATCTGGTGTGACTATAATAGCTTCCATGTTATAGACTTAGCCAAAACTTTCATGTGATGGGTTAGCTTTCTAATCCTACCATCCATAAAATGGGTATAAATTACTTGTATGAGTAAACAAGTAAATGAAAAAGGCCTCAGTTAAACACAAAAGTTTTATTCAACCTGAAGAATATTGTTTGTATGAGCTCTTTCTTAAGTATACCAGATTAAGGTCAATTTAGATTCATTATAATTAAACTATAATAAAGGAATAAAAACAAATACTTCATCTAGTGATAGTAATTAAACTTATGTGGAGAGCAATAGTATTATGTCTTAAATTTTATTGTAAGTAACAAACCATTTGCAGAAAATTTGAAATGAAAGTTCACTTCATACATTTCATCAGCAGGGTTATTAAGTATCCTAGAAAATACAAAAGATAATTCTACAGAAAATATAAATGTGTAAGATTATCCTTTGAATACTATGCATTACCAATTTAATTTCAAAATTGAAGAAAATACTTTTTTTTATATTCAAATAAGTAAAGTTATACAGAATCAACAGCCATGAAGTCTGAATTTAGATGAATGCCTGACCACAGTCTTTTATATTTAGAGGTCAGTCAATGGCAAATTTAATCTTCTTACCTTTGTAAGCCAACCCTCAATGTTTGGAAATAGCATTTCTTCTTTACGTAGCATCAAGTTTGAAGCACTGCGTCGCAAAACTTTTTGCAAAACTACAAAAAGTGTAAAAAGGTATATATTTTTAACTACTTGTGATATAAAAAGGATTATATATTTCATAGTAAAAAGGCTATACAAAATAAACTAACAAATATCAGTAAAACGTAACAATGTTTTGTTTGTATATTGCTAAGCACAAAGTTACACAATGGGTAATCTGTATCAAAACTTTATTTTTAGTGTTATACGTCCTTAGACTTACTGCTGAGCAACTGGGCAACAAATATAATGTTTCACTGAAAAAGAGATAGTTAAACGTATTTATAATTCTTGAAATAAATGAAACAAAGTAAAATTATATTTTTTAAAATCTTCCACAAACTCTCTAATTTTGAGTTATTTTTCACATTTTTATTAGGCTAATAAATTCTCCTTCAGTTATGTAAAAATAATGAAAAAGCTTGTAAGTTATACATTAGACAGATCACCCATTGTCATGCCCCTTTAAAATTTGCATTGAGATCTTTGCTCTCATCTTGTAGACTAACCATCATAAAGTTATATATTGGGATCTGCATTCATTGAACTAAACATCATATGCAGTCTATTACATATATTCAATAAATGGAATGTTCTACAAATGTGTGGAAAGATCTTAATAAAGTGGTCATTCAGTGTAATGCCAATTTCCTTTAACTATCAAAATCCAACAGTAAAATGGAAACCAAACGTTCATAATCTTAAGTAAAATCATGACCTATACCTCCAGAATGTAACTTTGTTAGCTCAATATTTCGCTATTACAGCTTCGTCAGGAGCTATCAGTATCATGTTATATAGGTCATGATTTTATTTATGTTTATACAAGTGTTTTTAAATTAATTTGAATTAAGAGTTATTGTAAGAAAACTACAGAAAACTGGATTGGGTTCTTTCATTCATCATTAATCTATTCATGAGCCTTGGCTGGATTATTTAATTACCAATGATGGAAAGCTGGATTACAGTTTATTAATAATCTCTTCATTAATGCAATAATGGTTTTTCAACTATAAAAAATCATAGCTTAGGATAGAATCACTGGATTTAAAAAAACAAAACAATTTTAATGAACTTATGTTATTTTTAGAATGAAAGGTTTTTCAGCCCCAAGTATTGAATTCATTGTTCAAACCCAAGTTCTCCAATTCATTAATATCTTATGAATAAAAGCCAAGATGTTCTTATCACTTAACTTATTAGGTATGAAACCTACTGTTTCCACATAACAAGTATAATTCTACCCAGTATCATTCATCTGAACAGAAATGAAGACTTTCTACTAAACCAACATAAACTTATTGAGTGGAAGAAATAATATCTTAAACATTAATTTCTACTTCTAAATTTCAATTGCATTCTCCTAATTCATTTCAATTTTGGTCCTGAATGGAGTAAGTACTTTCTAATTTTCTTTTAACCCTATAATTAGGGGCACCCTTGTACTGTGCATGTAACGAGATGTCACATTCAAAATTCAATTAAGCAATCTTACTATCAATGTATACTAATGAAATTAGTATTACAGTTCAAACTTTTCAAAAGAAATCTTAAAGAAAAGTTCTTAAACTTCAGTTTGATGCACAAGTTCACAAAATTTTAACTTTTCATCTCTGTAACTTAAATAGTTCTTTCTGTACACTATACTTCTATGTATAAATAGAAACTCGGTTAATTGTTCTGTTTACACCTTCTTCTTTCAAGCCCCTTATAGGACACTGGGAGGAAAGTGAAATAAATTTCTTGGAACTCTTAATAGATGCCATGCCCACTCTCTACACATACAGTTGCAATTTCTCAGCCAATTATACTTGGTTGAGATAGATGTTTGTAACAAATAGAAAGACAACATTTTGAAATACTATTTCCCAACAGTTATTTTAAAATTGGAGCAAAAAAATTCCATAGAGAACTTGTCAAATGCTCTTAGCATTGTTGTTGTTTGTGTCCATGCTAGCGCTTTAGAGTTTTCTCACCAATAAATATGTTAGTTAGATAGACAATTAAATGTTATTTAGGTTTTAGTTTTATATTGTAGTTGATTATGTGTTAGTTATGTTTCAAAATGTATATTAGAAAGGTTTAATATTTTTTTCAAATATAAGCCAGACTGTCTCAGTTTATCAGGCCTAATGTTGTAGGCAAATGTCCCAATATTCTGACAACGGCTAAAGTGTCACTGCCAAGGAAACCCCGAGTATGCCCATTGTCGTGTGTTGTGATATGTATTAATGCTAAAGGATAGGAAAGAAAAATAAAACATGAAAAATAAACTTTTTGTGAAAAAGTAAAAACTTGCAATTACGTATATAAACTAAGAAGATTTTCAAGATTATTCAACAAAAAATTAAAAGTTATGTACATTTTTTTCTAATTTTAATTTTAAACATTTCACTGCACAATATGTTGATGATAATACTTGAAATATTCAGAGTCTGAGTGGAAATAACTATGATACAAAAATAACAAATCTTTAATTAAAATACTTAATTAAAACAATCTCATTCTTTGTCTACAAAATACTTATAATCTTTAACAAATAAAACATCTTCCAATCAAAATTACCAAAAAAGGGGGGCATCTACTGGTCTCAACCATAGGAACAGAGCACTATCTACCTGAACCTATTATTATGAGAAGGATCCAGCACTGACTGGTCCAGCTCCCATCAACATCAGCACACCTGTGATTAAAAGGAGTGAAAGGAAGGAAGGTTCCCAGCTGAGTGGAGTGATATGTAATGTTATGATGTGTGTACTACACTCATGAAGAAGCCTTCATGGTCCACCACCACAGTGGCTAGGAGCTGGAAAGTGGCAAGAACTCCCAAACTCTACTCAAAGAAGGGAGGGGTAAAAATATGCTGGGGAGTATGGAGGAATGTCACACAGGAGAAAGCACAGTAACTGATTGCAAAACCCTATTTTGAAAAGCAGACTGCTACTGATATATTCAATCGAAGGAGCAGCGGGGATGGGTAGCAATCCCCTTCTGCTTTACTCATGATAATCCATGAGTGATGGTCTACCATGTACTTAACAGAATTCTACATATTGAGAAATAGAAATATGTAAATATGTACCACCAGGTAAGCTGCTAGTGATCTTGTGGAACACTTCATTTCAACAGTGTGTGTTATAACCTGAAAGATATTCAATGCAGGTTTATAGGAAAGCATACCTAACCAGGCAACACTCTCCACTGAATGTGATCCAAATATATATCAAAGAAAAAGGAAGCTCCTGAAAGAAGCATAACAGAAAAAACACTTACTCAAGTTAGAGTCAAACCAGTGCATGTAGAACTGCCAGAGGAAGTAGCTGATATCCACCAGAGAAGAACATAGCCAGATGGTGTAGGTAGTGAGTGACAAAGGTATGTGGAGAAGTTCACATTCCATCCTGAATTATCTCCTCCAGAGGACAACAAAAATGACCCACTAGAGACATGGTGGCATGTCAAATCTGATGAGACAAGACATGATAAAGATGATGCACTTCCAAGTAGAGGGAAGAGTAACCAAACCTAATAAGCTGATGAAACCAACCCATAAGGGTTATGAGGGAAAGGTCATGTGACACAGAAGAGTCCAGGGTTTAAAATAATGGGAATGGGAACCACAAAAAAAGTCATACAAGCTACATAGCATTGTAGAGTCCACAAAGGACATAGGAGGCAATCCAGAATTGGCCTGGAATAAATATGAGAAATGAAAGGGACAGAGATGGGTGCTTATTTGTTTTTTGTTTTGAATTTTGCACAAAGCTACACAAGGGCTATCTGCACTAGCCATCCCTAATTTAGCAGCGTAAGACTAGAAGGAAGGCAGCTAGTCATCACCACCCACCGCCAACTTTTGGGCTACTCTTTTACCAACGAATAGTGGGATTGACCATCACATTATTGTGCTCCCATGACTGAAAGGGCGAGCATGTGTGGTAGGATGGGGATTTGAACCCGCAACCCTCAGATTATGAGTCGAGTGCCCTAACCACCTGGCTATGCCAGGCCAGAGATGGGTCAAAAGCAGAATTGCCTTCACAGGCAACTTAGGTCTTGGGAAGGAAGGAAAAGTCCAGGTAATGCACAAGATATGTACTATGATAAAGAGTACAGAGAACATCTATTGCAAAAAAGGTCAGACCTACAACAACTGCAAGCCAGGAGAAGAAGGAAGTAGGTCTTGGGGGAAAGATCATACAGGAAACATGAAGCCAAAGGTTCAAATGGAGGTTGAAAAAGGACAAAAAGGATGATACTGAGATCCAAAACAGGTACAGGAAAGGCATGGTGAAGAAGAAGAACATGAAAGGACTAGAACATGAAGGAAAAAAAGGGAAAGGATAAGACCCTGTGGAATGATTGAACAGACAGGTGAAAACCCAGGAAAGGTGAGGAATGGAAGGACAGGAGGAGTGGAAATCATGTCAGAGAGTCCAAAGATGAAAAGTAGCCCCATGTCTTTGGTAAACTGACAATGCAGCAGGTCAAACTGAGAGGGAAAGTAGAAAAGCAACATGCAGTGTCAAATCCTCTCTTCTTGCAAGGGACCTGACAAAAGACACAGGTTAAGCTGGAGGGTAGGAATAGTGGGATGGAAAACATCCAAATGATGTGACAAAGGAGAGGCTGAGGTGATGACAATTGTAGAGGTCTCAGGTGAAAGAACCAAGGCTGAGCCAGCCAAAATGGAGCACCAAGAGAACCCGACATGGAGTAGTGTAGATGAAGGAGATTACTTTGGAAAAGAAACGTATAGGTGGAAAGTCAAAAATATGAAGGTCTCTCCATTCTCGACTGAAGGCATCAACCCCAAAAGCCTGAGGATGAGCAACTGGAGACCAGAAAGATGGCAGTTTGTTGTTCAGATGGGTGACTAATGCATCTATGTGCAGAGTACTCAGACAAAAGCATAATTACAGTAAAACTTGAGGATCTAGGGGCCACCCTGTGGAAATGACCTTGTGTGGATGCAATAAACAATCTACAGAAAATACGGCAAACCCAGAGCTTAATCTGGTGTTTGTGGGCCAGAATAGAAACTCCAGAGTTCAAAAACAAGGGGAGCTGGATTTGGTACTCCCTTGTATGGGGATGTATAAGACCATAACCACCTTCCCCCTCAGAAAATGGAGGAAATGAGACATGACTCGACGAACAGCTAAGAGCTCCAAAATGTTGACATGAAGCCTGGATTCATCTAATGACCAACTCCCGGAAATCTCCTGGGTATCGAAAAATGTACCCCAACTCACAAGAAACGCATTGTTAAAAAGATGCAGATCCAGATGAGGAGGTGGAAGAAGAACACCAGCCATAGTATTGTCTCTGTCCAACCACCACATCAAGCAAGTTTGGTCCAAAAGGGAAGAAGGAAGGACAACCAGTTGATCCAAGGGATCCGAGTTGAAGTTCCATTCATTGTGGAATTCCCACCAGAGGAAATGCATGTGACCTCAACCAAGGGGTATGAGAGCTTTTAAGGAAGCCCACTTCCTGAAAAGAGATATAACCTCTTGAGCTTGAAGAAAATGAGAGAATCAGGCTTTGATGACCAACTATTCCATATCCTGAAAGCTGGGCCCAACTGAGGTGGGAATTAAAGAAAACTCCCAAATGAACTAGGTACTGTGTAGGGGAATGAGGGACTTCTCCTCTTGGATTAACCAATCCACACAATCTGCCTCCTCCAGGAGCAAACAGGTTTGGTCAGATGACACTGAACAGGAAAGAGCCAGAAGAAGCCAGTCCTCCATATAATGATGAAACCAGAGTCTCAACAAATGTGTATGTGAAGAAGAGGTCTTGACTACCCAAGAAAACACGTAAGAAGACAAAGCAAGCCCAAATGGAAGAGCCCAGAATTGGAAAACATGGCCCTCATGTACAAACTGAAGAAAACTACACGAGGATGGAGAGATGGGAACATGAAGGTATGCATCCGCTACATCAAACTTGGTCATCCAATGACCTGGAGTGAAAATTCAATGAAGGGACAGAAACAACTCCATGGTGAAAGGAGGAGGATCCAGAAACTGATTTAGACAGGAGAGGCTGATTACTGGTCTCCAATCCCCCGTTTCTTGTGGGCAGCAAAAAGCTGACAGTAAAAACCCAGCTGCACAGGAAACACTGGCTCGATAGCTTCCTTGAGAAGAAGGCCTCTGACTGCCTTGGGCAAACAGCTGCTTACGATAGGATCCCTTGGAGGAGGGAAAGGAACTGGAGACAAGGAAAGAAGAGGTAGTGACTAGAATTGAAGAGATAAAACCTGCAGAACCCACTGATCAGTAGTGAAGGTCTCCCAGATGTCGAAAAAGCAGTGGAGCCTGGCCCCACAGGACCCAACTCCACTGTGTAGTTACCTATCCTGTTGTCGAAATTATTGATTGGCACAGGAAGAAATAGGGTAAAGATAAGGATATTTAGATGTGGTTAAAGGACAAGACATGGAAGCAGGAGGATGGAAAACAAAAATAGGATCAACAGCTGTGGGGGAGGAAGGTTGTGATAAATGATTAGCAAGGGAAGATAGGGAAATATGTAGGACTCCAAAGAATCAGGATAGCCCCTAAAAACGGTGTTCCACAAACCCTGAGTCATTTTTAAGTCTGAAAGAAGACAGGGTGAGATGAACCCCCACAAGCATCACATCTCTGCCAAACAAGTCCCAACAACAAAGCAGCCAAGTAAGTAAGGAAAGTGCCAAAGATAGTCTTGCCAAAGTCGACCACAAAAGAGATATGAGGTCTACCAAAAAATCATCAGGAGAACTACGAAAGGCCTCAGACAAAAGACGCAAAGGGGAGAGGTAACACAAAATGTTAGTAAGTGTAAACCAAATCCTCAAAAATTGTGTCTATAAAAGTGATATAGAAGCCTCAGGAGTAGAACCCCAACATCAGGTGAAGGGAAAACACCAAATAATCCAAGTTAGGGATCTCCCAGAAAAAGTAAGAGAGGCAGCATAGGAAACAGGAGAAACATTCAAAATGTGACAAACCTTTGTAATTAACTGGACGGGAAAGGAGTAGAAGGATGAACCTCCTCCAAAGGTACAGGATGTTGATTAAGGCAAAGGAAGGAGCACAAAAAAGGCTGTCCAAATCATCTTTGTCTTGAACATTCTCAACAGCCTGAAGAGGTGCTGACTGTTGTAGAGAAGGTCCAAGTCCCATGTAAGTAGCTAATTCCCAACAAACCAAGGTTTGCATCTCCTCAGCAGATAACATCGATCCAGAGGCCTAAGTAACATGAGTCTGTGTGTCACCAGTAACTTCAGGAGTCTTGGTAGTACTCACAGTAAATTGCAAATTCATAATTCACAATAATATGTGTTAAAATGTTAATTAAATCAGTAACACACCAGAATGCAAGCAATTGCAAAGCAAACTTATTGGAAAAAAACAACAAATATGAACAAAGTCTAAAATATTTGGAAAAAAATTATTGAAAATGGAAAGCAAGCAAGAAACACATCTGACTTGTATTGTGCCAATCGAGAAAATCGAGGTCCATATAAAATAGTACAGAAGGAGTCAGCTGCTCTAGAAGACTGTGTGGTATTCCTCTTCTAAGTTATCTTCAGTATCTTTATTCCACTCTTGAAATTTCTCCTTACCATTATTAAAATATTCTTTCAGGTTCTCTTCAATACTATTGTTCCACTTTTCCAGGTTCTCTTAGCTATCATTATTTTATGTTTTCTGGTTCTCTATACCATCATTATTCTACTTTTTCTATGTTTTCTTTATTATCATTGTTCTACTTTTTAAAGTTGTTTTTAGTCACTATTCTACTTCTTATAGTTCTTTTAGCAATAACTACTTAATACTTTTAAGTTCTCTTTAACTATCATTATCCTATTGATCAAAATGTCATCCTTTTATATGAAAAATATAAAAACTAAATGAATTTGTTTTAAAATTTTGCTATTACTTCAATCCCATGTTCAATTAAATCATTTCATTTCAGTTGAAGCAATTTCTAATAACTGAAGCCTTACATTTGAATGAATACAATAATAACTTAACAAGGTCCTTCGCAGTTCACTAAACTATAATAACAAATACATGTATATACAAAACAAAAAAAAAACCTGAAGCAAATATAAAAACAAATATATCAATTACAGTTTATGGTCAGGATTATAAAAATCAATTTTAAACAGAAGCAAGTACACTGAACATAAAATACATAGACACTATTTTATGAAATTACTATATTTTTTTTTATACTTACTGTATATCATAACTAATGTACTCCTTTTTCGATGAGCTTCATGTTTATTCATAATCACATTGTTGTTTTTATAATATACTTAGTTCATGCATCTAGGAACTGTAATCAAGCTTAATTTTTGAGACTCAACAATATCTATTTCTAACACAGAAAGACTGCCATCAACCCAATGAAGCCACAAACATGACATTACTTCTGACTGAGAAAGCCACATAATTAACATATTACCAGTGATTTAACCTTTTATTTACGATTCGGACGCATTATTTTAAGAAATTCTGTCCAGTAGTTAAAGCTCCAACTTATTGTATGGATTGGTCTTGATATTCAACTATTAGAATCTAATGTATTGATCTTGGTACTACTAAATTTTCTCCTTAAATGTCCCTATTTGATACACTTATGAAAGCAGTGGTATAACAATGCAATAGAATAAATTAATAGCAAAATAATTTTTCCTAATTTGGAAAAGTATTTTAGAAATGAAGCTATCAACTAAAGTTCTAGAAGTATTTTGGTACTTACTTGTTATCCATTCTTCCATTGTACTAACAGAATCTGCTGTCAAATAGTATGTTTTCTTTCCTGTGGAAACCTAAGAAACATCACCATAATCTTTCTCAAAATCTTCTACACCTATACTAAACTACAGTGTGAAGCACACCATCACATTAATTATTATAAAAGAAACCATGTATGTAACACATAGCTTTGTTATATGTTGAGTTTGAATAATGGCTAAATTATTTTTGGTGGGAAAGTTTACATTTTTAGAATTAAAATGACTTTCTAACTGGTACCTACTTCTGAAATACCAAAATCCTTTCTTTATTGATTTGCTGTCTTGCCATCAATAACATGTGATCTTAGGTTTTGAGTGTCCTTGACACAATACAGAGCATGTATCAACTTACCCAGAATTCTCCACTCTCACACTTTCCACATGACTTAGTGCACCTGCATCAGAAGAACTTACATAAGCTCTGCTTTCCTGCATAATTCAGACTTCTTAGTTGCACCCATACATCTCCTAAGTTTTTTGGGAGGTTGGTGGGAATATATTTCAGAGGTAAGTACCTAATTGAAATTTATCTGAACTCTAAAAAGGTAATCTTCAGATCACATAGACTGACCTCTGAAATACTAAAACCATAATACCCACACTGAGATGGAGAAGGGAGCTGGATAGTTATAAGGACCACTGATTCATCAAAAGTTGGGCTCTTAGGTAAGAATATAAGAATTTAAACTTTGACAAATGAAAGACATGATCAAGCAGAGTTTGAGAAGAATCCAAAACCAGAGCAAAAGTCAATGGACTGGATTCACAGGAGAATTAAGAGAAGTGGACCAGCCTAATAAGACACTGGACCGAAAAGGAGACACTAAAAAATAAAGGCATTCTCAAAACAGAAATGTAGTAAAATACTCACAGTTCAATTAATAGCTTCAGGACACTTGACATCCGGTTCAGCTGTGACTTCAGATTTTTGATCAAACATTTTTTGATTTTTTACTGAAACTATTAACTGCATTGTGAACTGGTAGATATTCTTCTCAGCAAGGTAACTCATCAGCTTAGACACCCTTTAAATAATATATAAAGGGGATAAGGTGACATGTAGAGCCATTTGAGACATTCTCAAAAGACCCATCTCACTCACTTATACATTTGGTGACTCATAATGATCAAAAGAAATGAGTAGAAGTAGAATATGTTGACTGAGAAGTAAATGAGAAAGAAGTAGTTGAGAGCGGGGGAAGGTAGAAAGATGAATATTACTTGCTGGTCATCTCAAAGAGGAACAATGACCAGAAGTAAGCTAAGATGCTAAAAACCTTATAAGCCCCTGCTGGCATACTTCTCCTGAATAGGAAATTGTTAAGGTGAAATTCCTGCAAAGACAAAGCAATGCAGGAAAGAAGCTCTTTTAAGGTCAGCTGAAACACTTGGAGGTAACCAAGTACTTTGCAACACAATATGATGGGCTAAGGTATCAAGGGATCATAAGAACCATGTGGTAGGAGAAACAACATTTGTGAAAATTGTACCTAAGGAAGACTGCAAGATAGAAATTTGATCCTGACTAAAGAAATCAGGAGAATGAGAATAGCTAATAATTGCACCGAAGAAAAAGATATCCTCATAGACAAATCTAAGATCATTCTCCTATATGTTTTATTATAGAAGATACCATTCTAAACTGTATTTCAAATATTCATTATGTCTATACAGGAAAGTTGTGGAATCATTATAAACTGTGCTAAAATGGTAAAGACAAAGTTTGGTGTGTTGTTAGAGTATGATGTTAAAGCAAAAGAAAACAATATCAAAAAATAAAAGTATACAATACAGACCTTTCTAATCTGGAGCTACAAAGAGACTACCTATTACATATTTTGCATCATACTGAGACACTGATGTATTGTAATAATTGTGATATATTATAACCTCCACAAAGTTCCATCTTGAAAAGTCATATGTGCACTACTAAAAATAGCTGAGATATATGAATGAAAAGTAACTTATGCGACAGCCATGTAAGATTCCTTTTTCTCTTTTTTTGATAATTTGTGAAGAAAAAACATTGAGCAACTCTTACAAAAGTTCATTTATTATGACTTTTCTTAGATATTTTTAAGTATGTGTAGATCATATGTGATATACTTCATTATTAAATCTAGCATCTGTTTTAATTTTTGTTCTATATAAATAATTGAATAAATCACAAAAATTACTTTAAAAAGTAAACAACTTAATCATACTGCACTACCCACAAATTTTAAAAGGGTTATTACGGTGTTTACTATTAATATTATAAATCACTATGTTTCAGAGGACAAAAATTCACTTTTTTCTCTAACTAAAATCAATGGTAAATGTGCAGATTTAACTAAATATGTAAAAATCATGTAGCATTATTGGCAAAAACCACAAAAACAAGTCTATGTTGCAAAAAGATACTTTAAAAATAAAATAATATGAAGATGAGTCCACAAGATTCAGTATATTTACATGCATGTGAACCACTGACAGAAAATGAGTGCTCTAAATGCAGAGCATGTTTGATTACTACATGGACTTGATTTTTCCCATGATTGCTTGGAGCTTAAGCACAAAGTTACACATTGGGATATCTGTGCTCTGTGCACCATGGGTATTGAAACCCAGTTTCTAACATCACACATCTTCAGACACACCGATGTGCCACTGGGAGGTTCCCTTATATATATATAAAATTTTGAACTGGGTTAATCCTTTTGAGATGGGTCCCGGGTGAAAGGCCATGTCATCTCATTTTTTGACTCGCATTCAAATTTTATTGAACTACTATTCCATGAATTTATTCAATAAGTTTGGTATCAAACTGTAGATTATAATTCAACTTTTCGTATTATACATAACTCAATTTCTTAATTTAAAAGTAAATATTAAAAAAACACAGTTAAACATCGAGTTTTGTGTGTCATATGGTAGGTTGAATGCAGCAATGGTTCAAATTAGATGTTTGTGATGTCAAAATACTAAGTCTGTAGTTTCATACAAATTAGAAACTCAAACTACCGATATTTACAAGCTAGAATATAAAATAAGAACCTCCTATCTTTTCTCTTTGCTAAGATACTGCTCATGTAATAAATCATACACAGTGGCATCCCACCCACCTCTTTTCATTTTTGGAAATGCTCCCTTATATACACTTACTTTTATATATGACATGAATAACCAATCAAAAGCTCAGAACGTCCCCCTAATAGCTTTGTCAGCCATTTTCAAATATAGATTGTTTATATGTTTCTTTTGGTACAAGATGGCATAGAGGTAAGTCGAGTCTTTAGTCTGCTCGAAAATTCAAATTTTTTTTAGAACAAAATACAGTCTTGTTACTAAAATTGATAAATTATAATTGAGTTCTATGGTATCAATATAGTAATTTATGATTTTTTGGTTATTCAAATGTATATATAAAACCTAAAAGAAATGCTTTTCTTTCATATCCTCCATGTGCAAAATTTTTAAAGGTTTAGCAATCTACATCAATCAGCAAACGAGTAGAGAGGTTGTAACTAGAAGATATAATTGTTTGCTTTACTTCTTTATTTACTGTTCTATGTTTAAGAAAAATAAGTTTAAAACTTATTTCTAAATAGCAATAATCTATATACATATATAATGTACAATAATTGAAATGTCACTAGTCTTCTAAAACACAGCCAAGACAGGTTACTTTGTGCAGACCAAAAGTCAGTTTTATGTTATTGGATACAGTAACATGAGTGCACATGTGCTGCATCATTGTAACTTCTGTATTGTTAACCAGACACGGCTGAAAGGTCAATATAATAAATATATATAAATGTATAATGTTATGAGATTTAAGCTATTTAGTCTAAACATTTATGTTTTTGTGATATAATTTGTGTTCATTCTAGAATGAAAGAGGCATAATTTATATTTATTTCCTAATTTTTTTGGTGGTTACAAGATTGGTCAAATCTAACGAACCCATCTAGAGATTCATTACTGAAAATAACAGATAAAATACAGTTTTTTCTTAAGAAATGTTTGATAACTATCTGGACATTATAAAGATTTTGCATGTGAAGTTTGAAAATTTTCTGATGCATAAAAGTATTTTTAATCGTCAAATGAAAATTAGTTTGCATAATAGATAGGCAACATGTAAAAAGAAAAAAAGGCATGAGAAAAACATTGCTTTATAAACCTTAGGACTTAATAAAAAACATTTATATTTTGCATATGAAAGCATTGTATTGTTTATTGATAATCTGCCAAATTTCGTTAACATTCACTTACTAATTTAAGTTATAGCATGGAAACTATAACAAGCACAAAATGGGACCAAGCCCATGCTGAAAGAATCAATAATGAAAGGGTTCTATTGTAGAAAAACTAATAATGGGTATTTAGTCAACTTAGTTTTCTCTTAACAACAACATTAATTAAGAAAGTTAAAATTTTTCTTACACTGAAAGTGTATTTTCAATAGGTGCTTATCAACTCTCACTAAAAGATATCTCAATCCTTTTCTGCCCTTTAAGCATTACTAAAAAAGTTTTGCAATCAGTTCATCAGTCTTTATACCCCATCAATTTCACACCATTTCTGAACATGTACATATCATTTAACTACTCTCCACCATTGGTATTGCACCACCTATATTGGAACAGCTGCCTCTCCATGCTATTCCCACTCAATCCTTATTTTTCGAAAATTGACATCTTCTAAAATAATAACACTGGCCATGGGGAGAAAGGGTGTGAAGTGTGTGAAAAGAGGTAAGTACCTATCAGAAATACATTTTCAGTGTAAGAAAAATGTTAACTTCCAACATCGTCTTACCTTCTCTCACAAAAAAGCTAGAATCCCACACTACAAAGGTGATGGGGCTGGTTTAGGTGCACTCACTTCAAACCAAGTGGAAAGTGACTGTCTAGAATGAAGAGGTGTGTTTCGAGATAAACAAATCACATAAGTGTGGTACTGCACTACTTCTGGAACAGGTATGTTTTTTGCCCTGGAAGTAGGAAATGAACCTGATAAGGGCAGGTACATACACAACCTCACCCTGATAGACGAGGTTTAATAACTTGTCCTCTGCATTAGGAGAACATGCACAAATGCTATTCATTCTAAGAAGTGCAATCCACAGTAAACTATAAACAGAATTAACTATGTACATACACAGCCTCAACCAGACATAAAAGGTTCCATAACTTGTCCTTGGCAGTAGGAGGATGTGCACAACTGCTAATAGTTCTGAGAGATGCATTGCATAGTAAAATAACATCAGAAGTATCTATGTATGTATACAATCTCAACTGGACAGACAATGTTCATAATTCGTCCTTGGAATTAGGATTTTGGGGATAAAAAAAGATGTTGTTTTTGTAACATAATGTAGCAGAAACATAGTGGCTAGGGCATGTGGACTATGTTGTATAAGCTCAACAAATCCAACCATCAATAAATATAATGTCCTACATCAAGCAACCAGAATTATGAAGAGGAAGTATGTTTTTGGTCAAAACTGGACAAACCTCCAAAACAACTGTAGGAGTTAGAAGTACAACAAACTGAACCCAGCATTACAGGATCATGGCATTGCCTCAGCTCAACTGTAAGAACAGGGTAACATTTATAACCGATATTACAAGCAGAAATCAATTCTACTGCACACAACTGTAGGAACAGGGAAGTGTCATCCTAAACCTGGTATTACGAGGAGAATCCCATGTAAGCTGGACCTCCTCCAACCCCCTATTTTATTTTTTCTGTCTATTGTTGTCCACCTTCAAAAAGGTATCCAGGGTAAATGGAAGGAGGGAAACCAGCTTTGCCCTCTTCTCACTGAGTGGATAATCATAAGTATGAATTGTAAAGTAAATTTGGAAGCTCACTTAGGAGGAAGCTTCCATTGTCCACCACCCCAGTGACTGGGAATAGCCATGGAATAGAAATGATATCCACTAGAGGAAGATACAGACAAGTCATGCAGATAATGAGTGATGAATGTATTGGGAGTAGTCCACATTCAGGCCTGAATGATCTCTTCCAAAGGCCAGCAAAGTTGTACCACCAAGGACATAGTGATGTGATGAATCTGATGAGAAGAAACATTGTGGAGATGGTACCCTTTGATGGATAAGTCCAAATATGCCAGACTAATGAGTTCACAATCCAACCAGTAAGCATGAAAGGGGACAGATCATGGGAAATGTAATGATTCCAGTGAATAAAAAGGTAAGAACATGAACCCTGAAATGAGGCAGTACATGTCAAATAGCACCTAAAGGAATGAACTGGACAAAGAAGCCAATCAGGATAGGAATGAGAGTACAGGTGAGAAACGGAAGTTAAAGAAATCGGTATGAAAGCCAAGCCACCTATACTGGCAGCATAGGTCTTAGGGAGGAAAAGCAGGTCAGGTACAGGATGACATATGAGGAACGGTAAAAGATGTGGGTAACATTAATGGCATCAATACCTGAGTTATGACGACTGCAAGCAAGGAGGAGAAATAAATGGGACTTGAGGGAGAGAAGGTAGATGGAACATGAAAACAAAAGATTAAATGGATGATGAGAAAGGGCATAAAGGCTCACATTGAGATCCCAATAGGCAATTCAAAGAAATGGAAAACAAGGAAAAGAACAGAGGTAGACAAAACCATATGATACCCAGAGAAACAAAAGGTGGTCGACAAAGTCACCTGATAGCTAGACATGGACAAAATGGACAAGCCTTTGTCAAACAACTGGGTGAAGAATAAGGAAAGATGAGGAATGGAAGGGTGGGAAGAACAGAAACCTAGGCAAAGAACATGGAAGAAGGTCTAATGGATTGGGAAAGGAAAGATGCAATACAGAGAGTCAGGCCCTGGGCTGAGACAACTGTCCTGACAAAAGCCATGTGTGATAACAGAGAGTAAAGACATCTGTGAAAACAGGGACCACTTCACCTCCATGGGAGGAGAATCTTATTAGGAGAAGATAATTGATCCACCACTGGATTCAGGGAGAGAGGAAAATGGCAAGCTAAGACCACAATGTGGTGGCTGTTGGTCCAGAAAAGAGATCCAGGATCTGAAAGCACAGAGACCTGGAATTGATACCCTTGGCTTTGTGGTATTTGTGACCACTGTGGAGATATCAGAATGTATCATAACCACCATCTCCCACAGGAGAAGAAGGAAGTGGAACAAAGCTTGATGAAATACCAAAGCCTCGAGAAAGGTGATATGGAGAAAAGACTCTTTGATCAACCATAGACAAAAAATCTCCAAGGACTCGAGGTAAGAACCCCAACCCTCTAAAGATGAGTATGTGAACAGATGTAAATCTGGACAAGGTGGAGTAAACAGCATAGCCACCGTGGTCTAGACTCTGTCTAACCACCAAGCCAGGGATCCAAGAAGAAGTTCCACTGATCAAGGAGTGTCCATTAAAAGGAACTCATATGAGCTCAACCCATAGGAATGAGAGCTTCCAAGGAAGCCCATAACCCCAAAGAGATAGAACATCTTGAGCCATAATAAAAGGTGAGGGATGTGTTAACCCAAAGACAAAGAAGAAGAAAAAAGAAACCCCTCCAAATAAAAGAGGTAATTAGAGGAAGTAAGAATGGACTTCCCACTGTCAACAGGAATCCCACCTGTTCTGCATCCTGTAGGAGTATAGAAATGTGGTCTCTGGACTATGAACAGGAGGAAGCAAGCAGAAGCCAGTCATCCACAGAAGGCAGAGTGCAAAGACTTATAGAGTGAATATGTCATGCAAGAGTTTGTACTCCCCAACAAAACACTTAAAGAGCTGAGGTTAGTCCAAAAGGTATGGTCCTAGATTGTTTACTATAATGGGAAATTCTGTAGTCGATACATTGATTGCAACTTCATACTATGATCTCTTGTAATTCAGTATCAAGAAATAATTGAAAAAAAATGATGAAACTGTTTAAAAAAATTGAAGTGGCAAAGAAGCATGTTTAATGGTGGCCACATACAAAAAACACACATCTAACCAATGCTTTGCCAATCGAGAAAGTGAGGATTGAGCGGGAAAAGCAGATGGAGCTATCTGTTCCAATATAGGTGGTGCAATACTATTAATGGGGAGTAGTCACATGATATGTACATCTTCAAAAATGGTACAAAATTGATGGAGCATAAAGACTGGTGCACTAATCGCAAAATTTTTTTAGCATTGCTTAAAGGGCAGAAAATGATTAAAATAGCTTTTTGTGACAAGAGGTAAGACCATATAGGAAAATACATTGTTAATTAAAATATTAAAATTGATTTGTGTGTTATAACAGAAATGAATATGTATTACATGTTTCATGTTAGAAAACATTATAATATAATCGCCCCCAGTGGTACAGTGGTATGTCTTTGGGCTTACAACTCTAGAAACCGAGTTTCAATACCCGTGGTGGGCAGAGCACAGATAGCCTATTGTGTAGCTTTGTGCTTATTTGGAAACAAACAGACAATATAATATAATTATGATAAAGGTGGTAATGGCATAAAATGTACAATAAAGGTAGTACTGACATAAATTACACACTTTTTGTAATATTTTTCTAAGAAAACTTATCATTAGTGAAATGACAAGGGTATAACAAATGAGTTATCAGCCAGACAATTTTAACCCAGCTTCTTAGGCTTACTATTTTACATAGTTCTTGCTTATGTAACATTTAATTCAACAACAAATAATGAAGAAATTGCACAATTCAAGCTCAGTTCTGAAAACAATATTTACTTCAATACTAACTTTTCATAGCATCTAATGCATATCCTAAATTATTAAGAAGGATTAATCTGAATTTCCCCATTAACAAGTCAGTGAACACAGCTGTATATATTATTATACTTTTCGAATTGACATTTATATAATCTTTGTACTCTAAAAACTGCAACTTTTGACTCACACAATTGTAAACTTTCCAATCCCACTCTTACTTCATTCCTCCTCTTACAACCTTTTAAATTTTTACTGTAGCAATTCCACTTTAACTCTCATAACTTTCAATTCCACTTATTTAACTCTTCAATTCTTTCTCTTGTTTAATGGATTAATGTCATGAAAATAATCAACTAATCATAATTAGTATTTACAATTATCACTGTTTTACATTATTCCATCAATACAATTAATGGAAATATTGCCTTTATGATTTATCATTATCATTTTTGATTAATTCAAGATTGCACAGCTTAATTGACAAGTGTTACAACTCACATAATAATCAACTAATTGTAATTAGGATTTTTGTTTATTATTATTATTTTCAATTATTCCAACTATCCAAGTCATGTTGGAATAATCAATTAGTTGAATACAATCAATTAATAAGCCTGACAATTAATTGATTATCAAATTATACTAACCACCCAACTGTAGCCGGAAGTTATTCTATGCCCATATTAAGAGAAACATATCTATTGAAATATTATATTCTATATACTTTTATTCCAATTAATTTTTATAATGACAAAATATGCATAATTATGAGTTAGGCTTAATCAAATATTTTCAGATATCAATAATACAACATAAAAAAAGCAAAACTGTTACCTCAAACGTGGCTGCTCCCTCAGCTCGATCCACTTTACAGATTTCATTCAATATAATTTGGCCCTGAGGTTTTCTGTGGACATCATTCTACAGCCACAGAAAGTATACACTGTACATTAAAGCATGGTCTACTTAATAATTATTTCCTCTATAATTTAAATAAAAAATGGAGAAATTTACTTCCTATCACAACTGAAATATATCAATTCCTAACTACTTAGTAAGTTTAGCAAATAAAATTATGTTTATAACATATAATTAGTCTATACTAAACATTACTGCAAGCATCACCACACTTAAAAAATTAAGATTTTTTCTTATGTTCAATGATTTAAACTTGCCTGTGTCTTGTAATAGCTAAGGGCTCCATTCTTCAAAACAAACCAGCGTCTTTGCCATGTTTTGAATTTTCCTCCAAGTTTTGTTAGGTATCCACTCTTCTCCAGTGATTTCTATAATATAATTTCTATTGTATTAACATAAAATGCAATAGCTCACATCAGAAAACAAAAACCCACACCACAATCACTTACAGCAAAATTATACTATTAATTTACATAATTCTATAGGCTCTTATGTATATTTACAAACCAATATTTTTGTTAGTTACTAAAACTGTATACTAAAGATTAAAATGACCAAAGATGACCAGAGGAAGAAATTACCTTATAAAAGGCATTAAAAGGCTTGAAGTAGCAAAAGATGACAAGGAAGGCACAAATTACAAAACAAACAGCACCAAAAGAGTTTATTATAAGATGACAAAATATGACCAACATTAAAAAATTGTACTAAAAAGTCTAAAGTTACAAATGTTGACCAGAAGGGCAACGTTACCTCATAAACAGCACCTTAGGGACTAAAATGACAAAACATGACCTCAAGGAGTGTGTGTATGACTAAAAATGGCCAGAGCAACAAAATTCCCTTACAAAGGAGATCAATGGATGCTGGATGCTAAGGAAAATGACTAGAACAAGAAAATTATTTTGCAAAGGAAACTTGCCAACATTTCATAGGGATTGATGAAGCATATTTTTACTTCACAATGAGGCAGGTTGACATCATGAAAACATTTCATGTAGACATAAAGATTTAAGAATTCTTAAAATGCATTAAACCTAATACGGTGACAAAAAATATCAAACCTGTATTGAAGCCTAAATAAGCAAAAGTACGAGTATGTTATAGTATATAATTAATACTCAATTCCAAAAAAAATTACCTGTAGATTATTATGTATATAAATAATTCTATAAAAGCTGAATGAAAAGTATGTTTACTCTGTATTACCTGTATCAGAAAATGATTCTAAGGATAAGGCTGTTCTGCTACCTGCTACAAAGCAATATATCTTAGTATTCAAGTCATACCAATATGATTTTGTCTAATGATGAGCAATATAACCATAAAATTGACAAATAACAACATATTTATTGAATGTTTTCGAATATACACATTGTATCTTCAGCATATTCCTAGAGTAAACAGAAAGGTATAATTACAAATAATCACCTATGATTTTGGTTTTATATTACCTTTTCCTTTTTAGGACTTCCTGATGATCCACTTGTTCTCACATTCTGAGCTTCTCCTGCATCATTACTTGTCCAATCAGTGGATGTGGTTTCTGGTGGAATAGTATAATCACTTGGAACCAACTCTTCTAGCCCTGTTGCAGTATCTAGAACAAGGAAAAAAAACATGCTAGATAACATTTCTAACTTGATTTTAAGGAAATACATGAATAAATAATTTCAAACATGAGGAATCAAGTCAGAAAAAATCAGATCCAACAAAGAGAAATGATATAAAATGAATTAGATCCAACACAATGAACTGAGTTAAACTAAAAATATGATCCAAAATATAAGAATAAGTTGAAACAAAATTAAGGTCTAACAGAAAGGAATTAAGTGAAATAAAAACCAGTTCTAAGCTAATGGGACAAGATTAAAAAGAAATATATATTCTAGCACAAACAGGTAAGAAATAAAATGAAATCAGCTCCAACACATTTGAATTAATTCTTGCTTATTTTTTAATGTTTAACCAATAAAGTATTATTAAATTGTTTTTCTGATAACCAACTACAAGCATTTATATAATGTAACAGAACTACTTTATTTAAAAAAACTAAACGTACATTTCCGTGGAACTACTGAGATAGGTGTTGCATGTCTCACTGGTGTAGGAGAAAGGGTGCTGCTTGATTTTCCCACTCGTTGCAGACATCTATATCCATAAAGTGAGTCTAGAGGCACAGTCTGTGATGAAGCTCTGACTTCTTCATTATCTGAAGAATCCGATGATTCTCCAGTGAATGGAACTGATCGGATCTGGGATGGTCTCTAAGCTCATAACAATAACTTAGCTTAGTCACTCACAAGAAGAAAGTATAGAATACATATAAATATTTTGAAACACATTTTAATATCTTGTGATAAACAAAAATTCAGCTTCAAATATATATATGTTTGATAAAGAGGTTATATGAGAAAATGTTAACAAGACAATGTGTGGGTACAGTATATATTTTCCTAATGTTGTAACTAATTTTAAACCTTTGCAAATTTAACTGTAAAAAAAACAAAAAACAATTTACATTAACTATATATGGATAAGAAATGTATACAGTCTCTCCCCCTCAAAATTAAATTTAATCAGCATAAAACATACTTTATAGAAACTTGTATAATAAACTTCCTTAAAAGTATCTAGTGGTTTTTGAATGTAATGAGGAAGTCAATCACATACAGTTGAAAATTATTTGTTATATTCAAAAGCATGCATATCTATTACTTAGGTATTCTTGAAATAATATAACCTGAAAACTAAATTATGGTTTTACTTTTTTTTGTTTGCATTTAAGCCTAAATTTGCAACTTGCCCAAAAATAACACCCACAGAACCAGAAGATTCCCATCCACTCTGTCAAACACAAAGTATTCCTTTTCCTAAGCTGTGTTAAATTACCTTTTATGACTTCTACCTTCCACAATTGCAATAACAAATTTGTCCCTACAATCAAACAGATCAAGCAGCACAATGTGCCAGAGCTTAACATACCACACAAGTGATCAAACATTAACATTTTCCTTACCTGATAGACACTCAACTCTCGGCACTACAAAGAGCTGTTACCTTGTGCATACTGCCATGTAATTTCCTATGTATGCTACAAGCCTGGAACAAAGCTCCCACCCATACATGTGTCAACATGTATTTTGCCAGCCTATGATGTAACAATCTTTAGAATATAGCCCTCCTCCAATAGGAGGGCAACACATTCTCAATACACAGTAATCCTCATGAGCACTAGCATGTGAACATAAGTTCATTCTTGATGAGGCAAACTAAATGCTTCACAACTGGGGAAGGCAGGGTGGAAGGAAGTGCAGAGATATTTTCAGCTAAGAAAAACATTAACTTCAGAAATGCTACTCATTTCTCTGTCCTAGAAGAGCTAAAATTCCATACTAAAGATGGTGGAGAGGCCAGTGCAAAGAAATTACAAAGATGAGGCCCTTTCTGAAAACAGCATCAGCAAGGGAAAGCCCATGGACTGACATCCACAAGATGTGGGGTAGCCTAGTAGGGCAACTCAGTGGGAACTGCATCCTTCTCAAGCAGAGAACACTCTTCACCCAACAGAGATAGTAGAGCAAGAGACAGTGTCATAAGAATCTTCTGCTGGGTGTTAATGTGTCACTAAGGTGGGTGGAATGACAGATTGCTCAAGCATCTATTACCTCACAGGTGAACAGCTGAGTATAAGTGTGTAGTGTGGCTAATGCTATAAATCAGGCCATTCCATATTGGAGAAATATTACATGAGATACCACAAAAATCATGTGCAGGGAGTAACTTCTCAGAGCTTTACATGCTTTACTAGAAGAACTGGGGTGGGGAGGGATTAATGTGAGAGAGAACACCAGAGAGATGTGGGAACCATTGTCATCAGGCACAATCATTTTGAATTAGTTTCCACACTGAGAGACAGTACAATAGGTTACCAAATGAAAGACAGCAGTTTCGAGCCAGATGTGAAGGCAGGCACACACACAAACCTGATGCTATCCTTTTTCTTTTTTTTTGACAAGTGCAAAATGACCTGGAAGATTGGCATAACAATTTCAGTACTCCCCCACTCTATGCAAATTTTGGGTAAGCATCCCTTGTTAGGCAATACCAGCCACAAGATGGGTTTCATTGTCATAAGGTGAGGAATAGTGAGACATAAGAATAGCAAGAAGTGAGCAGATGATAAAGTTAAGAACAAATTACAATACTCACCTCATGAGAATCTCTGGGTAGACTAGAGAATGGTAAAAAAGTGGTCAGCAAAAGACATAAGCACAATAAACTACCATGTGATGGATAAAATGTGATACAAGTGTGTTAGTTTCATCCACCTTCCCACCTGTAGGATCTCATGCAGAAGACAACATGAATGAAAGGTGAGAGAAAACGTTAGATGATGAACCTAATGGGAAGTGACATTGTAAAATCTATGTACATCCTTACCCAAAAACAAACACATCAAGTGGATGAGCTGACAAACTCACCCAAAGATGAGAAGTCACAAAAGAAGGAGGCATCCCACAGCAAGAAGAGGCAATGGCAGTTTCCACAGAAGGGGCAGTTTGAGCAAAATAATAACAAACAACATGAACCAGACACAAAAGACAATTGGAGTTGGAATAATCATACAAAGAAGAAATGGAAAGGAAACTAATGGAAGAAAACTTTGATTTTTCTCCCAGACAGTCCAAGTTTTTGGGAAAAAAGATTATTCTGGAAATAAAATCAACCATTCCCTAGGATAGAGAGTGCACAAGGTATTCAATACTTAAATATCTAAATGATTGCTTCCTAAGTAAGCATAAGGAGAAATTACATATTCAAGGACCAATGGTATATGGAAATGGAAATGATTCAAATGGGAAACTAGTGAGAGCCTGACAAACAAATAGAGGTTCCTGTCCAGAAGTGGGATCAGGCGAGTAGGACAACAGTGTCGAAAAGCTCATTGAATCAGAGAATGAAATGGAGAAGGACCAGGTAAGAGACAAAAAGTTGTGGACAAAGTTTTTCTATAATCAGTGATTGTCAACATGGATAAACTTCTGTCAAATATGCTGGTATAAAAGCAGTAAGATGTAGAAGAATAGGGTTACCCTAGTAGAAGGAATTGACAAAGGAACCACCAGTGGTAAACAACCCATTTGCACTGATAGAGCCAGTGTGGAAGGCTGGCAAGAACAAAACAGAAAAAAAGCTTGTTTGTGTGTAAAGCTCAACCATCACACAAGGGAGTGGCCAAATTACAACACACAGGAAGGAAGAGGCATGAAAGATGGACACCTGTGGCTGGTGGAAAAGGGTCTACCAAAGTGGAAGTTGAAGAGGCTCCTTGAATGGCAAACAGTGCAAAAAAGAAAACCATGACTAAGATGGCCAAAGAGGAGTAATTAGAAGAAGCCAGTAAGGGGTGCCACAAATGAGACACAGAACACAGAGAATCAGGCTAAGAAAATGATAGGCATAAAGAAAGAAGATGGCTCAGAGCATCAACAGCCATAACTATACGGTCTGGGATTGCTAAAGGCATCTATCAGAAGGCTACCAAACTAGGAATAAATCCACTGAAACACCAAAGGATCACTCCTTGGGAAAGAAATATCCTGTCCCTATGAAACAAGTGATTTGCCAACAAGTTCAAAGCCCTCAGAACATTGCAACCTGACAACTGAATCTGATGGTTGTGGACAGAAGGGAGAAATTCCAGAGTGAGAATGAGAGGCACTTTGATGGTTGATGTGAGATCCAAATTTGGAATAAGCTGAATGGATCACCATCAGATGACCCATGAACTGAGACTGATATGCAGCTAACATTTCCAAGACATTGATGTGAAGGGACCAATCTCAATCTCCCCATCTGGAAAGAGTGGCATCTGTGTATAAATGTATATTAAGTCGATGATCAGAATACCTAGAGTCATGTTGAAGAGATTGAGTCAACACAATAGAGAAAGGGGTGGAGAGATGGATGTGTAGTCATGAGGACTGACAAGGAATCCCAGAACATGTTCCACTAATCACCCATGATTCATTGAAGTGAGTACATATGAGCATATCCCAAAGTGATAAGGGACTCAAGGGAAACTACAGTCCCAAAAAGTGAGAAAATAGAGATCCTATCATGCAGGTAGAGTAGAAGACCAAAAAGCCTTGGAAATCAGAATCTCAGTGGCATGAAGATGCAAAGATGATGGTTGATCCTGCCCCACACACAAATTGAGTAAAAACATTCATGTGGACCAAATACTGAGTGGAGGTTAAGACAGTCTTGAATCACTTGACCAACCCACCCAAATGAAGTGCCTACTGAAGGTGGAGAGAAGTTGCTTCTGCAGAAGTCTGTTGAGATGTAGCCAGCAGGAGCCAATAGTCCATACAATAATGGAAGTGAAGACCTACAGAGTGCATCCACCAAGGGAATGCTTGCATAATTCAATTGAAAACATAAGGGGCCATGAATAATCCTAAGGATAGGGCCTAGAATTAAAAAAAATCTGATTTTGTGGACAAACTGGGGGAAATAAAGGGATGATGGACAAATCAGAACGTGAAAAAATAAATCAGAAACATCATCTTTGGTCATTCACAACTCAGAAGAGAACAGCCATTATATACTGTGAAAAATCATCCATCTTAAACTGAGGAACATCGAGAAAAAGGCTTAAGGACAATAAATCAATGACAGAGTACCAACCCTGGGCCTTCTTGAGGATTACAGAAAAAGACAGGAATAAAAACCCTGAGTGAGATGATCACGATGGACAGCCTCCAATCTCCTGTCTTATCAGGCCCAACAACTGATCGGAATAAAACCTCAGAAGAACTAGCATGACTCTCTCACTACCCCCAGACCAACCAAACTCTGGTAGCCCTAGAACTAAGTTCCATATTCCAAGGATCTGCAGGAGACAGAAACCCTACAGGTTGGGTGGATAATAGTGGTGAAGATGTTAACTGAATGACTAATCCTGTCTCAAGGACCTGTAGTGCTCCTGGCTCTGTGTTTAAGGATACCACATGTCCAGAAATTCTCAGAGTCGAGCCTCCACAGACCCTAAAGGAAAACAATAATCACCGATGATGCTGGCAGCAATCTGACCAAGCAGAAGATCCCTTGGATATAGACAGAATCTATTCTGGGTACCAATATTCCCGAGGGACTGATGTCGATGGTCAAAAAAGGGCAGAACTATGATCCCCTGTAGGAGCTGATGAAATTCGAGAAGCCAATGACAAAAGGGATGAATGTAGAAGCCGACAACTGAACCAATGTGTAATAGTTCCAGCTCATCATCAATGAAGTTGGTGATCCTGAGAATCTTCCAACAAAGTGAAGTGAAAAGAAAAAATGTTGGATTTTAGAGTTGTAAGTTCGTAGATTTACCCTGTCCCATCAGGGAACATTGATCTATTCAGGTTAACTACAAACACCGCCTTAGAACCCCAAAATCCAAGGAGCAAATGTATCATTTGAGAGTAAGAAAATGTTCCTACTGGGCAGTAGAAAGCTAAGTCATGAAGTTCCAATAACTGTGTTGGATAAGGCATAACTGTCCCTTCACATAACTGAGAAGTAAACCTCCCTGTATGAGCCACAATATGCATAGATGGAGAAAAAACTAAAAATTCACTCCCAGACCTTTCAGCCATCAAGTAAGGTGCAGGTTCAAAACCAACCATGGAAAGATCTAAAACATCACACTCTCAATGAACCAACTGAAGAAAATCAAAGGCAGCTTATCCCAAAGTGGCTTCCTTTTTGTTTCTATATGCCATTTAAAAACTGTTGATTAGAACAACATTTGGTCTGGTAAATTTGTTTTGTTAGAGCAAAGCAACTTTGAGCTATCTGTTCTGTCGACTATAGGGAATCAAGCCTTGGATTCCAGCATTGCAAGTCCATAGACTCACCACTGTCCCACAGGGGGACTGAAAAGCCAATAGACTAAAATAATGCGCAGTAAAAAGCAAATCTAAATTCTCTCCAGAATTTCGAAGATCACCCTTAATTGCAGCCTCAGAGTCCCCTGGAGGAACACCACAGGAACGAGTATATGATCCAGGAATTCATACTGTAAATGGGCTTGTCAATTTGAAATTTATATTTTTTTTACGAAAATCAACTAGGAAACACAGAGAACATTCAAAGTATTTTCCAACGATCATAGTACTGGGAACCCATCGAGAAAAAGTGATAACATTACCTGAATGAGGTGCTTATATAAAGTACCGGGATTGACATAGGTGGAGAGTGTCACAAGACAAATATCACCAAGGGTAATTAAATTGGGTATAAAAGACTGGAACAAGCGAGAAAAAATCAGACCAAATCTTAGATGGCAGTCGAATAATAGTTGTAAGTGTGTGTGTGGAGATAAGTATGTTTTGGAATCATCCCTTGCAGTTTTAAGCATTTAGGTAGGTTAGTGTCCATTACATTATTAAGCATAAAACACTGGGTAATAGGATCATTGAACAAGTTCTTAGTTGTTTAATTATTTCAGTAGTCTTTAATCTGAGGCTTTATATCATGAGAATTCGATATACCCTTTCTTCCTAAACTGTGTTTTTCTTTATATTCTTAATGCGCTGATTAAATTATTAGAACTTGAATAATTTTTGCAATGAAAAGAAAGCAACTCATCAAATGGCCATGAAAGAGTCATTGATATAATTACACAAAAAACAGTAAATGTGTTGAATAAAAATAGTCTAACAACTGAATAATGTGCTAAAACTTGAATAAATTTTGTATGATGAAAAATATTAACCTTTCAAAAGTAGTCTAAATAGTCACAGTTAAAACAATTTACAATCAACAAAACCTTATTTAATGTTACGTTTTTCAAATTACAGAAATGTAAAAATATTTTAGGAGATATTGGAAATAGTATACAGTGTGTTTGATATAGCAGTAAAACTTTAAATATGAATATGTTTTATAAATATTTCCTATAACCAAAAAATATTAAAGCTTACCCCTTTCACTGTAGCATAGACTGGAATGCTTATGTCTGTAAATGCTCCATTAGAACACATCTTAATTGTGTTTATTGGCAAACCTACAGAGGAAGAGCACAGCATAACACATTAATTAATCTTTCATGTTTCACTGAAAAGATTAGATATCCTGTGTAAAAAAGATTGCAGTATTTCATTATTACATAATACTAACTAAGTGTTTTCAAAAAAGGTAGTAGCTATAGCAGCTTTAAAGATGAGCTTTTATTAAACCTCTATAAACAATGTGTTTATCAAAATTCACTATATCATTATAAGGTGTTCAGACAATATATTTTATGTTTCATACTGTTACGACAGCGGAAGTCACGCGACGCTGGGAGCATGCGCGCTGGAGTTCCTCGAAGGATCATGAATTTTCCTGGCAACTCTAGTTTGTTCGAGGTACCCTCTTTTTTTAGTATATAAGTCTGGCGAGAAAAAAAAACAGCACGATTTGAAGAGATATAGATAGATTGAAGAGATAGATAGATAATTGAGTCAAGCGAGCAGTAGGCACTGTAAGTAAAGTATGTGAATCACTGTGATTTATAGCGTGTGTTATAATGATTGTTAATTTTGAAGTGACTGTGGAAATTCTGTGTACTAAAAAGTTGTATCAAGAA